GATGGCCCCGTCGATGCCTGGCTAGTCGAGACCGCAGGCTTCGTCGGTTGGCTTGCAACTGATGGCATTTCTAGCTGACTTGTCGATGGCGCACCCTGTACAGGTGCTGTCCCATCTCCACATAGGTTAATATCGCCAATTATCTTTGACGACAGGTCTAGCTGGGCCATCCGAAGCTCCTCAGCCTTGTCTAGGTCTACCTCCTTCGGGTACCCAGCCTCCAGGCGCTTGAGATTGATCAGGGGGTAGTGGGCACGCACCATGCTTAGCACATGTGCACCCGTGTACTCACCCGCCTCCTTCACGAACTCTTGGAACCAACTCCATGCCTTTCGGCACCTCTCGACCAGTCCGAGCTCCAGCATCCTTGGCGCTTCCTCTGTAAGCGCCGGATCGATAAGGTCGAGGACGGGCAAAATGCCAGTTGCCACTTCCTGGCACCGGTTCTTCCATGTGTCCCGATCTTCGGTGGTCTCTAGGCATCGCGCCTTCCAGCCGTCATGATCTTTAATCACATCTTCTAGATGTTTCTTGGCATTGATTTTTAAAATTGCAAACCGTGCAAGACATCAGAATGTAACGGCATGACAAGAAAGGGCGGGCAACAGAATGAGCAAGGTGGTCTGGAACACTTACTTTTCAGTTCCTCCTTCATCTTAGTTGCGCGGTCTTGGAGTTGAGACTAGTCGCGCGCCAGTTTCTTGTTGTCCTCCTTCAGGCGACCACACTCTGTGGTCACACGGATATTCTCCTCTTGGAGGCGGGTTACTTTGGCTTCTAATCCTGCGCTACAGCTGTCACTACCAACAATGGAACAACGCGTGTCATGCACTTGCTATGATAAAACGACAACTTACTTGTTTTTTCCTGCTCTTTGTTACTGAGCTGGACGACCAGGTTCTGGTTTTTTGCATCTTTTTCTGTCCTCTCCCGGTCGGCGGCTTCAAGCTGGCAGCGCAAGCATTCCACCTTGGCCGCCAGTTCTCTATTGTTTGCCGTGATTCCCCCAATCTGGTCAAAGCACCTTTTTTGGTACCTTGCGGTCTTCATCAAGTCCTGCATATAAACAAGCTAAGTCAGACAGTTCGACTAAATGGCAGGATCAAGTGGTCAAGCCAAACATACTTGAACTTCTGTCACCAGACGTTTTGCCGCTCGTTCAACTTTTAGGGTCTCTTCGACCTTAGGGATTTCCTCATGCATAACCCACTCGTTGTTCCACCAGCGCGACACATATACATGTTGTCGTTTGTCTGGGGGATGGCCCAGGATCTCTTCTACTTCGTCCTCTTCGGCCTCTTGTTCAGAAGGCGGCGCTGGTCTAGAGTTTGTAGTCTCTGCGACCACTATGGCTTTCCTACGAGTCATAGCATCGGCAAGCGTGTTCTGTGCCACCTTCGGCTGTAGCTCCTTGGCTTGGTCCGGTCCCCTTGGCGCTGAAGTATCCCCCTCAGCAGGGGTAGTGCTCGGAGCACTAGTACTTGGCTCGGCTCTCTCCTCGACCAGCTGCTCGGGGACTGTCGTCTGGACGCTCGTTTGCTGAGGTTCTGGTGGATTTTCTTCTACAGGTTCCTCCACATCCGGCCGCTGGGCAGTTCTTTCTGTCATTGCTGGAGAAGCCGTGCTGCACCCGGCCAGCTGGTCAGGATTTTTGGTGGACGCCGACCTAATATGTCAGAGATAAGTTCAAAAAACAATAGTATTCAATACGAATTGTAAGCTTACATCAAGGTTGCAAATACTTACAGCTCGGAAGCACGGAATAACGTGGTGAAGGAGCGTCTCTTCGACCGTGCTTGCTCCTCGTGCTCGGCGGGTTCCACTAGGTCTTTTTCCACGACCAGTACCGGTGCCGGGGCCTGATGCTCGACCCCTTTGCCGCTTGTCATCTGTGTTGCAGTGGTCGGTGATGCGATCCCTGCTGGCACAGGGGAGCTAACCTGCTCCGTCAACTCCAGTTGTCTCCTCTTTCGAGTGACAAGTCGGAAGATGTCTGCATCCTCTGCTTCATCATCCGACAGAGGGAAGATGGCCTGACGACGTTTGTTGGCCGCCGGCCGCTTGCCAGCAGCCCTGGCCGTTGCCTCCTCTCCAACCCCAAGTATAGCCCAATCGATGTCTTCGGCCCTGGCACTGGTCTGGGGGGTTGGGCTGGCAACTTGCGGCCAATCCACACCAGGGGGTGGAGACACGAACACTGATGCCCTGTCATGACCATTACTCTGGGAAACATAAAGGCGATAACATAGTCAATTTTTGTTACAACATAACTCTATAGGTACAAGGAAGCATAATTTACCTTTGGGGGAGGTCGAGCCAGCTTGAAGGCGTGCTCGATGTCGTTTAACCTGACATAATTGGGATCTGCTAAGTTGAATAGCTCCCCAATCCTGGCCTTGACTTCAATCTTGTCAAGCACCTCTTTTATAGTCCTCGTTGGATCTGTGCTCCCCTGGTATTCATAACCAGGATGTACCCTCCTCTAGCAGGGCTAGATCCTTCGGCTGATGAAGTTTCCGACCACGCTTGGACCATCTAGCTTCCCCCATGGGATCATCCCGAGCAGTTCTGCAATCTGTTCCAAGTGCTCGGGCTTCTCCCACCAGCTGTTTTTCTTCTCCGGAATGAACCCCATGTCTAGCGATATGTTCCAAGGGCAATGCAAGTACTGGGCCTTCATCCCATCGCGAAGATTGAGATATACGCCTCCGGCTATCTTCGAGCCGCCGCTCCCTTTCTTCCGCAGACAGAACAGATGGCGAAAGAGGTCGAAATGGGGCTGGAAGCCACCATATGCTTCGCAAAGATGGATGAAGGTGGAGACAAGAAGAATCGAGTTGGGATGCAGATTGCAAATCCCAATCTCGTAGTACAAACAGAGCCCCTAGAGGAAAGGGTGCACTGGAACCCCAAAACCCCGCTTGAAGAAATCCTCGAAAACCACAATCTCACCTGGTTGTGGATCGGGGTAGCTTTCTCCTTCCAGCGCGCGCCATCCCGCGAGTGCCTTGTTATGGAGCACTCCCATGGTGACAAGGTCTTCGATGGTCTGATCATTGCTCCTTGACTTCCACCACTCCTTCGCCATGACTCCGGCTTTCTTCTGGGCGTTTTTCTTCGCCATTAATCTGTCCTTGCTAAAAGGGGTGGATACGGTGGAGGGGTGATGGGCGATGATTTCGGAGGAATAGGGTTTGGCAAGAGGAAGAAGGAGGCTGCGGCGGCGAATGATAATGGGGGTTGGTAAAAAATAACTTACCAGTTCTATATTGTAAATAACCAAGAGTTCCGTCGTTTCATCCGCCTGAGATTCTTGGGAGATGTGCGCGCGCGCTGCAGACGGTTGTTTTCACAACCTCGAGATCTACGCCAATAAATGCGCCCCTTCGTTACCAGTGTACGCGCCTCTTCGTTGCTAGTGTGAGAGGGCCCACACTAACGCACCTCTTTACAGGTGCCAAGCGACTGTTTGCTAGAAAGGGCAAGAAGACAGTATGACGTGTTGTACCTATCTGCTTTTTTGACCAGACGTGTACGTTTGGACTTGACAGAGTAAGAAAATAAATAAATACAACAAATAATAGTACAAGCGGCGTTTGTTTTTACGCTGCATGTCTTGTGCTCAAGTATGGTCCAGACCACTGCCGTGCTTGGGGACTGCCTAGGTCACTGCCGTGCTCGGGGACTGCCTAGACCACCGCCGTGCTCGGGGACTGCCTAGACCACTGCCATGCTCGGGGACTGCTCAGGCTACTGCCATGCTCGGGGACTGCCTAGACCACTGCCGTGCTCGGGGACTGCACATACCACTACCGTGCTCGGGGATTGCTCCGACCACCAATGTGTTCGGGAATTGTCCCGACCACTGCTCGGAGATCGTTCTCCTCAGCTACATGTGATTTGTACTCACATACAGTTGAGAGACATTTATTTAGACCTTGCTACAAGGCTTGTATTTCGCCTTCCAGCAAGCTCGGGGACTACATCGGTATGATGCACCTGCCGGTGCATCTCGTATCGCCTGTACGACGATTGGGTTCTCAACTTAACTGGGAATTCTTTTTTAGACCCTGGCACCACGTGCCTACGTCACCTACTACCAGGCTCGGGGACTAAGTGGGCACACTTCACCTTGCAGTGAATGTGTTTGTTTTTCGACCCCTACGCCTCTAATGATCAAAGATGTTACGCTTCAAGACGCACTTACATTTCTTTTCAGAAACACAAGTGGGCACACTTCCCGGGATGGAAATCTTTTCTTTTTTCTTAAGAGCACCATACATTCTTCGGACAGCCTACTTCTCCGGCAGTAACGGTGGTCAGAAATGTCAAAAACTCAGGCTTTACTATTTGGAGAAGGTTAAAGTGGCGTGTCGCAGCATAATACATGGTGCTCGGGGACTAGCTGTGGGGGTATTAACCCCTATACCCTTACGGCTAAGATTGGGCCGGCCCGGACCAGGGGGTTCGGTCCACCAAAAGACGACGCGTGGCCCAGCCGATCTGCTCGGAGTCACGCGCAAGGAATCAAGGCAGATTTGGAGATCAAGCAAGATCTTGGTCGGTTAGAATAGGAATCCTTATCTGGCCACCTATGACAATTGTAACCGGTTAGGATTAGTTTTCAGATCTGTAACCCTGCCCCCAGATTATATAAGGCGGGTAGGGGACCCCTCTAACAAACATCTCTCATTGACATACAACAATACAATCAGACGCAAGACGTAGGTATTACGCCTTCTTGGCGGCCGAACCTGGATAAAACCTCGTGTGTCTTGCGTCACCATCTTGTTTGTGGCTTGCGCATTTGTCTGCCGACAATCTACTACCTTGGGCATACCCCTGGGTAGACTGCCGACCATATTTCATCGACAGGCGCCATGGAGGTCGCTCGCGCCATGGAGGAGGCGTTGGACTCAGAGATGACGCCAGACTCGGAGATGACGCTGGCCTCGGAGATGGCGCTGGACTCGGTCTAGATGGCACCGGACTCGGTCGACATGGCACTGGACTCGGTCGAGATGGCGCTGGACTCGGTCGAGATGGCGCCGGACTCCGTCGACGTGGTGCCGGACTCGGTCGAGGTGATGTCGGAGTCTCTGTGTGCTCGCTGCGGCACGTTCCACGCCGACAACGACGACGAAGGCTGCTACCAAGCTCGTCGCGAAGCTAGCAGGTGTGCACGTTGCGGCATTGTACACAGAGACTACGATCTCACAACATGGATACTTGATGGCATAGAAAATTTTGATTGGGAGCTCTACATTCCTGATGTGGAGAAGCTTCAAATGGATGGTGACACAATACTTTTTCCTGAGCACGTTATCAAGAAGTTGGACGAGATCTACAATATGAAGAAGTTGGAAGATGCAAAAAGGAAGCAAGATGCAAAGAAAGAACAGTAAGGTACATGTCTCATTCAGTCGACCTAACAGACATGCAAAAACTAATTTGCTAGTAATATTCTTGCTTCGGCTAGCAATTGCTTCGGCTAGCATGCTGCAAAGACTAACATGCTTGCATCTTCTAATATTCTTCTAATTTGCTGCAGGAAGGCTAGCAATTGCTTCGGCTAGCAAGGAAGATTCACAAGAGATTTGCAATGGCAGCCGGTCTTCTTTCTCTAGTTTTTCTTTTTGTATGTGAGGAATCTTGAACTTGTTGCACCCTTTAACTTTCATGGCTTCCCTCAAAACACTCTGAAGTGTTACAAAAATCATGTTTGCTTTCCATGGAGAGTACTCTAAGAATGCCTACAAAACATGTGTTCAAAAATTTAATCAATGAGTATATTAGTTGTTCAAGAAACAATGGAACAAGTGAACAATTGATCAATTTACCTGTTGGACTGCTGGAACTAGATCTTTTATTGTTTTTGCATCCTTCTTGTATTGAATAGCTTGAATAGCTCGAAAAAACCCCAAGTCTAAAATATTAAAATCCGGAGAATTGGGTGGTTGACAAATGAGGCGAATGTCAAACCCTTCTTGCTTAGCAGCCTCACAAAAAAAATAGGATCATCCACTTTTAAATGGGAAGGTGCATTATCTTGTTGTATGAAAATTGTCTTGTTCACATCTTCTCTTGGCTATTTGGCTCGAATGGCAGGCAGCACATTGTTTGCCATGAAATCTCTAATCACCTCTCTTGTGATTGAAGTAATTGGCTTGATTACTTGTTCTCCACGAAGACGATTGTGACTTCTTCTAACAGCATGTTCATAAGTAACAAGTGGAAAACAACCTATTTTTCCATGAAAAACACATTCTCCATTCCTAAACCTTGACCGAGCACAAACACACAAAAACATGAGCCTAGGGATGTAATTCTTGTTTTTACAAGTGCGATGTGGTTCATCTTCCTCGGGTAGCAAGCAATATTTTTCAGATTTTTGAGAGAGGTAGAACCATTTTTCATCAATGAACACAAAATCAAAAAAATCCTTAAATCTTGGATCACCAAGCAAACCCTGCTCAATCATGTCAACACACCACTTCAACCTAGTCTTCTTGTTAGCATCTATGAGGTATGGTTTGATGCTACTAGAGTGACGCCTAAGCAAACCTTTTTTTCAAATACTTTGTATCCTAGCTTTGCTCATACTAAGTTTACTAGACACATCTTCTATGGTCATTCTTTGTTTGAGAGGAATGGTGCGCAATTGTTCCAAATCAAGAGGGACTGCCTTGCGGCCACATCTACCCTTCTTTTTACTTGTAACCACAACAGGAATGTTATGAGCAAGTTGGTGTTTACCTCGCTTCCATAAGCGCTGAACTGATCGAATGTGCACTCCAAATTGATCAGCAACAATTCTTGTATCCTTCTTGCCTAGTGTCCCATTCTTGCTTCTAGCCAACAATGCTTGGTACACTTGTCTTGTGACTTCTTCTGTCATGTCCTTCCTTCTGTGGTGTACTTCAACGGGAACCTCAACATCTTGTTCTATTAAAAGAAAAAAAAAGAACATTCTTCTTGTTAGCCACGGATTACATAAAAAATAATCAAAAAAGGAAAGAACAAACTGAAAAAATTACCAGCGAGGTTTTGTATGTAATCAAAGTCAACCGCACCATATTCATCTAATGGCAAGTTCAAATCAAATCTTGTCCAAAAATGAAACAAAAACATCAGAAAAGATGGCGCTTGAGGGAAACAACAAACTCAAACAAGAGAGGTGATTACCATTGTCGTTGCCGGACTCCAATATTGGCTCGTTGAGATCGAAGGCAAGATTGCCGTTGTCATCTTCTTCTAAGCGAACGTTCAGATCAAAGGCAGCAACTCTAGGATCAGCCATTGCATGCGGTAGTGAAGAGAAGAGAGGGAAAGTGAAGAGATGAAGCACGGTAATGGAAACAGAAGAGGCCAGGGGAAAGACTCCGTTAAAATAGGCACGGTGGAACACACACGTCGGAGCTATCGAGCGCAAAAATTAGAATCCTGTGGCGCCACCGCAAAAATCGTTTGCATGTGAAAAACCAACGAAAACATGGCGCCCAACACGCGCTCAAGCGGCTCAGCGCGTGCACCACGCCCAATAGAATCAAATCCGCGCGCCATGCAGCCACAGCGCACGCGACACGCAGGGCCAAACAGTGCCATGCAAAATCAAGCCAGTAACAAAAAAATGGCACCCGCCAGGTATCGAACCTGGATCCTCAGGGCCAACGCCTCGCTGCACTAGCTGTCTGAACTATGGTTGTTTCTCGTATGGAATGCACCCACAACTGTTTTTTAATAGAGGCAGACAGGGAAAAATACCCCCTAATTAATCATTCTTTGGTAAGTACAATCATGTCATAAACGACTTCCTTTATGAGTACGGAGGGAGTACACATACAGCAACTCAGCAAGCAAGCAACCAGTAGAGGAGGAGGCATGGCCCACCCGACAGAGCCACAGACACAATGTCTCCGGTTTGTGTGAGAAGGAAGGACGGCCCACGTGTCAGAGGCACAGATGAAATGTAGTTTCCGTTACAGTCAAGATTAGGAGGGAAGGAAACAGTTTCCCGTTACGGGAAACCGGGGTCCGTTCTGCTTTTAGCTCACGGGCCACTTCTGGCTATTGGACTATGGCCCGGCATCGGCCCAACTAAGCCCACTCCCTCGGGCCAGGCACTCTTTTTCTTCTAGCTTCAGCTTAAACTGCTACTGCTTTGCGTTGGGTACTTGGGTTCAACTGAATTCAGAGCTCCTGCTCACTTCCATGATTAAAAAAATGCATACACTGTAGCTAACAAATAAAAAAATCACCATCTACTTCTCCTCCCATTCTTAGGATCAACATTCACCTACACCATTCCAGCACTAAGCATTCTCACCATTACGTCACAGTACAGTAATCCATCTCGTAGTTTTTCTAAACACTGATGCGGTCGATCACTGTCTGTCGGTAAGCAATGTTGCTTTTCATCTTGCCTGACAACTTATCACCACCGGTCAGTATGCAACCTGAACACGACACAGTGGTGCAGTTCACCTTGTCCGAAATTCAGTTCCAGACTGGATTAATGCAAGCAATGATCTGCACTGCATGTACTTAGGATTCTAAAGTGGTATTTGGAGTTAATAATGTTGTTACTTGAAATTCCATCAAAGAATTTTGGCGTAGGATTAGCATTTAACTCACACTTAGGAGATCGTAAGCTTCAACGAGGACGACGTCATGATGTTCAAGTGTAGGACTGTTGTGGATGATTATCACCAAGTGGCACAACAATGTCATCTCCCTTTGGAAAGATCGGTTATAACGGTCACTGTACATGACATCGCTTGCTGCTCGTGCATTTCATCTTCAACCAAACCAATGTTCAGTAAACTATTGGGTTCCATGTCTGATGGGAGATGTGCATCCCTGTGCAGGTACTGCATGACAAGGCGCATGGAGGGCCTCGCATTTGGCAAGGGGTGTGAAGAGAGCAAGCCAAGCTTCAGGACCAGCTCTATCTCCTCCTCCACATGATCATCCAGTCTTGGATCGACGGCATCAGTAATGGATCCACCTTGCCACTTTGCAAGCACCCAGTCACCCACTTCAAGAGGCTCTCCATTGTTTGTGTTCACCCAGATTGGTCGTCTTCCACAGGCAACCTCCATCATCAGCACACCAAAGGCAAACACGTCAGTTGCTTTGGTTGCCTTGCCAAGCCGCGCCAGCTCAGGGGCAATGTACCCCCATGTTCCTGCCACACGTGTGGTGTGAGCATCAGCTCCATGATCATGGGACCTTGCAAGGCCGAAATCACCCAACCTCGCATTCATCTCACTATCAAGCAGGACATTGCTTGTTTTGATGTCTCGGTGGATGACAACCTGCTCACACTCCTCATGGAGGTAGAAGATACCAGATGCGACGCATTTGAGGATGTGGAACCTTTGAGACCAACACAGACCGGTGCTGCTATGACCTTGAATGTGCAAGTGAAAGTCAAGGCTTCCATGGGGCATATAGTCGTACACCAAAAGGAGCTGTTGCTTGTGCCAACAATACCCAAGAAGCTGAACAAGATTGCGGTGACGGAGACGACCAAGGATGATGATCTCGGCCACGAACTCCTTCATCCCTTGCTTGGACTCTGGAGATATGAGCTTAATGGGCAACTGTTTGCTTGGAATGAGGAAGCAGTCCTTTGAAGACACTCCCAAAGCCTCCTTTACCCAGAAGCATCTTGTCCTTGAATCCACCAGTGGCAGCCAGTAGATCTTTGTAGGTGAAGGATGGAGGCCCATACTCCCTCTCCCTCTCTATTTCATCTCTTCTTGCTTCTAACTGCCTCTTCCTATGGATCTTGAAAAGAGTAGCAGAAATCACTATGGCAACTCCAAGAGTTGATACAAGGGCTGCACATAATATTGTCCTGATGATGCGCGTGCTTGGGCGAGCTCCAATTTGTGCTGCAAGATCTTGGATAGTCTTCAAAGAATAGTGCTGAGTAGTTTAGCGCTGCTGCTTCTCCGTTCAGCTTGAAGCTCCAACCAAAAATGTAATGCCTGCTAGGAAGTGGGCCGGTCGCCGACGAAAATCCAGCAAACACTTGCGTGGATGGCTAAATTGTTGATAAATCATATACCTGTGTTAGCAGTGGCCTGCTGGGTTTGGACTGATTGAAAGGCGCTATTGTGACATTCAGCATGGTCTGCTTGCTGTCGTAGTCCACCCACACCTGCATCGGCTGTCCACTGACGAGGCTCAAGGGAACGTAACCACCTTCAGAGGTATAGTAACCTGCTGTACTAGAGGCAACGGAATGTAGGCTGTTTATGTCAATCCCTATGTGGTTGCCGTCAATGTCATTGAACTCATTGTTCATTATGGTATCAAGCTCGATAGCAAGGAGATGGTTTGTTGCGTCACCATTATTCGTGGAATTGAGAAGGCCAAGATACTGGGAAGGGAAGGC